GAAATGATTTCGCCACTTATATAAAAACGTCAATTTCTCCTACCTATGCTATTTAGTTATTTCTTCTCTTTGTTCATTTCTGCTTTGGTCTAAATTTGGTTATGTATTACACACAACAAACAAGGAAATAAAATACTTTTGTATAATAATATGTATACTTTTTTTTAATGTAATCTTTATTTATGGAGTAAAACTATCAGAAAATAAAATAGCTTATACCTTTTTTTAAACATAAAGAAACCTTTAATTTCGGACATACTCCCTTTTATATAACTTGTTTGTTGATGTGGAGATGGTGAAGGAGTAGAAGTTAGTTGTTGATAAGAGGATGAAGGCACGTAAGAGATCGAAGTGTGGTCTTCTGGAGTTGTAAGAGATATGAGTGCGGTCTTGTGTTGATAGCGTTGGAATAGGAGTTAGTTGTTGAGGAGAGGCTTTATCTTCTCCTTACTTACATCATACACTCTACTTTACGAACGGCAATAAAAAAATTAGTTTAGTAGGCATTCTTGACCATATCACTTCGCAGGGTCACAGGCTAGGGTGGATATGATTTGAATTTCGATAAAATTTCAATTTATTTATTTACTTTATTCACTTTTCTTTGTTTTTTTTGTAAAATATCAGTGCCATAGGCTTCTACTCCGTTTATATGATTAAAATGTAAAAATTATGTTATATAAAAAAGGTCATTCAGTATCACTGTTTTGTTAACTTCTTTCCGCGAGGGTTGCCGGCAGCGACTGCCAAAAGAAATCGGGCCGATGTGCCTACACACACGCAGTAAGGAGGGGGCGGTGCCCCGATCTAGGAAGCATCGGCTGATCTAGGAAGCATTTTTGCTCCTGCCAGCCGATTAAGGAGGCGATATCGGCCACGACTTAGGATGGCCCTACATACGACACGATTTAGAGGCAATCTAGGAGGCATCCCTACTACTCCACCCTAGATCGCCACCGATATCGTGTCGTATGTAGCCCGCTTTAGTTTAACAGGCATTTGAATAACGAGAGTCGCGTATTTTTTTCAAAATGTCGAAAACTGAGTATCGAAGTGTCATAAAGTTTCTGTTTAAAGAAGGTTTATCCCCTGCCCAAATAAAAGAACGATTGGATGGCGTGTATAAGGAGTATGCCCCCTCCTATAGCACAGTGAAAAATTGGGTGAAAGAGTTTCGCCTTGGAAGAGAAACCGTCGAAGACTTTGGCCACGACGGTCGACCTGTGGAAGTGCTCACTCCCGAAACGATTGCTCTTATCGAAGAGGAGGTTCTGAGTGACCGCCGTTTGAAGATTAGAGAAATTGCAGCAAGGCTTGGGCTCTCTAAGAGTATCGTTCATCGCGCGATCCATGAATATCTTCACATGAAAAAAGTGAGTGCAAGATGGGTACCGAAACTTCTTTCAGCGGTACAGAGACAGGAAAGAGTGCGCTGCGCTTCGGAGTTTTTGAATCTTTGTGGCGAAAATCCAAAAACTGTGATCGAGCGGCTAGTGACTGGTGATGAAACTATGATCTTGTATTATGATCCACAAAGCAAGCGCGAGTCAATGGATTGGCGTTATAAGGGTGAAAAGACCCCTAGAAAGGCAAAGGTGCAATAATCGACTTAAAAACTGATGTGCACAATATTTTGGGATTTTCAAGGCATTTTGATGGTGGATTTTAAAGAACGTAATACAGTCGTGAACGGCGAATATTATGCTTCTTTAATATATAAATTACGAGACAAGATAAAGGAAAAACGAAGAGGCAAGCTGTCTAAAGGTGTCCTGCTGCTCCATGACAACGCCCCTGTTCATACCGCTGGGGTTTCGAAGGATGCAGTTCGTCAATGCGAGTTCACAGAAGTTCAACATCCACCTTACAGTCCAGACATGGCCCCGTCCGACTAATATTTATATCCAAATTTAAAGCGGGACTTAAGAGGAAGAAAATTTTCAAGCGATGAAGAGTTGCAGGCGGCCGTCTTCAGTCATTTTGAGGATAAAAAATGTGATTATTTTTATAAAGGTTTAGAGATGTTGATACACAGATGTCAGAAGTGTGTTAGTATTCATGGTGATTATATTGAAAAATAAAATTGGTTTCGTTTCATTTCCTTCATTGGTTCATAGTTAGGCCAATTCATTATGGGACCACCTACGTAAGTACATAAATATCAATAAAATAAAATAAATAAAAATATACATAAATAAATAAGCCCAACCAGATGGAAGCCCTCGGCAGCGAGACCAAATGGCTGAGGGTTAGGTGGAAAGGGAAACAAAACCGGCGGACGATGCGGGCGGTATCGAAGAGCACCGCCTTCTGCACTTCAAGGCGCTGTACATAGTCAAAGTAGGCTTCAGAAAACATTTTTTTAGGAAAATGTATACATTTTAATCATTCTCTAAACCATTTCCCATTATCTGGGGTCGGCGCAGTAAATCTTCTTGTTCCATTCCTCTCTATCAGCCGTCATTTCCATACTTACTCCTTTCATTCTCATATCACTCTTCACACAATCGATCCATCTTTTATTCGGCCTTCCTCTGCCCGTGTGTCCCTCCACATTCATATTCAACACTCGTTTTGTGACATGACTTTCATCCCTCCGCATCACATGCCCAAACCATGCCAATCTGCTTCCTCTCACCTTTTCTACCACTGGCGCTACTTTCAGGCTTCCTCTTATATACTCATTCCTTATCTTATCCATCCTTGTCACACCACACATCCATCGTAACATTCTCATTTCATTCGCATGCAATCTATTTTCATCCTTCTTCTTGACGGCCCAGCATTCACTTCCATACATGACGACAGGTCGGATGGTCGATTTGTAAATTTTCCCCTTCAGCCTTATTTGCATTCGGGGATCGCACGTTATGCCTGTGACCTGTCGCCATTTCATCCACCCTGCGTTAATCTAAAATGTATACATTTTAGAGCTGCAAAAAAAAATATAGGTTAATCTTGATCATATATATTGGGGGACCATTGTGTTCAAAACACGTTTTCAGTAAATTTTCTCGATAGAAAAAAAATCATAAAAAAATCCATTAAAAATGAAATTCTAGCGATTGTAACTAGATTATTTATAAACAAATCTTGAACGAGTTAATAACAGTGATGTAATATATAATAATAAAGGGAACTGTTGTTTTTATTTATCGATTAAAATAAGATATTTGTAATTATTAACATATTTAAGAGCCGTGGTAGCTCAGATGGTTAGCACTCGCTGTAAATTTCACAATACGCGAGCAAACCAGGTTCGATCCCCAATGAAATTGTTAATTGCAATTTTAAGTGCTGATTTACCACGTGCTCGGCGGTGAAGGAAAACATCGTGAGGAAACCTGCATGTCTGAGAAATAAGAAAAAAAATTATTTCGAAGACATGTGAAGTTCGCCAACACAGTTGGGGCAGCGCGGCGGACTATTCCTTGACCTAAAACCCTCTCAGAAATGAGAGGGGGGCCTGTGCCCAGCAGTGGGACGTATATAGGCTGTAACTTTACTTTACTTTTTTTAACATATTTAATGATTAATAACTCGAACGAGTCCAACGAAACATCGCGCCATCTTGGCGTCTTTTTGCTTCTCTTTCATTTCTACGCAGAGCGACACTGACCGCGATAGATTACTGTGTATACTGACCCTGCTAGGTAGACCTGTTTCGCTCGCCGCTCTAAAATCATTTACGTACGTATGTTTTGTTGTTGAAAGCTGTGTATTATATTTTATTTTGTGATTAATTTTTTATTTCCTCAACTAATTTCAAGCATTATTCCTGAAGTATGTGATGCTTTAGTTGAAGGACTTTCAGATTATGTGAAAATTCCAAGGAGTCAGGAAGGATGGAGAGAAATTGCAGATGAATATTTAAAAAGATGGCAAATACCCAATTGTCTTGGGTCAATGGATGGGAAACACATAAAACTTCAATGTCCCCCAAAAAGTGGACGTGATTATATAAACTATAAAAAATATTTCAGTATTGTGCTCTTTGCTTTAGTAGATGCTGATTACAACTTTTTGTACGCTAATGTGGGATGTCAGGGTCGGATTTCAGATGGTGGAGTTTTTAATAATTCAACATTAGGTCGATTGTTAAATGATAATGAATTGAATATACCACATAAAACCCCTTTACCCGGAAGGAATCTACCAGTACCGTATTTTTTTTGGGTGATGATGCGTTTCCTCTGCAACTCCATATTATAAAGGCTTATGATGGTAATCACACAATGGGATTCTAAGAGGGTTTTTAACTATCGCGTATGTCGAGGGCGAAGAGTAGTTGAAAACGTGTTCGGGCAGTTAACACACAAATTTAAGATTTTTCATAGACCTATTCAGCTAATCCCAGAAAAAGCTACTACTGTAACTTTGGCGTGTATACATTTATTTCATTATATCAAACGAACCGCTGCAACTCAGCAAAACGAATACGATACTGAAAATAATCAAGGAGAAATCTTTCCCGGTGAATGGCGTAGACATCTTGAAAACGACAGTTGCTTAGATAATATGTCAGGAGAAGAAAATCAAACCTCGGATACTACAGTGACCGCTGAGGATACAAGAGTGGAGTTGACTCGTTATTTTCTTTCTAGTGTCGGAGGATTAGAATGGCAATATAACCAATAACTCAACTCATATAATCAATATTATTTTTAATCATTAAGTAGTTCCATGTATTATCCATTAAATCTAAAATCGTAAATTACACATAGTGAGATACACTTTTATTGTGATTCGTATAATAAAGTTTTAAACAAAATAAGAAATGTGTTTTTGTAAACCAATAACATGATATTAACTATTGGTAACAGTAGAAGTGTCACTAAACTAAAATTAAAACCTTGCTATTCCTTTCGCACATATGTCAAGCTCTACTCGTGTGAAGGGAATAGTCAACACTAATTTTAAATTTAACTTTAATGGGGCTACCTATAGCTACCTTTATTATACCAAAAAGAAAATTAAATATTTATAACACATTTTGAAGATTACTTTATAACACTATCAGAAGGATTTAGAGCTAGGTATTCTTCAGCAAATGTTTCTAGTGACGAAGGTTGAATTGTTTGTGGATCTGGGTTTGTTTGGGCAGAGTATTCAGAAGAAGTTAAGTTATTTGTAGAAGGGCTTACAACCGTCTGTTGAAGTGAAGATGCTGTATAGCATCCTGGATGACTGTGTGAACTAGAAACATTACTTGGTCTTGCAAAATCCGTAAATGTATCGGATCTATATCCAGTTTCGGCTTCAAATATTATATTGTTGATCCGATATCTCACAATAGCTTTCATTTGTCGATCCATTTGTCTTAACTGACCCGCAATATAGTCTCCAAATAAACCATCCTCATCTTTTGTCACATTTGGTCGTTGGGAGACATTCTTCATAATATTCAATGCTTCGGATATCAACTCTTTATTAGGGTTGATTTTAGGACGTTTATTTCGTTGCCAAGTTTCTGGCGACATCTGTGGTAAATCATTTTGATTTGATTGTGAATCTCGTTGTGAATCGTGGCTCGTCGACGGTGTGTCCTGCGAAAAAAAGACGAAAAAAGACTGCCCGTTTAGCCGTTTTACTTTTATTTAATAAAAAATAAATAAGTATATCTAGTCAAAATCAACATTTATTGTGTATTTTTTATTATGGATTTTATTAAAGGCACTGAATAAGTCTTCAACATTTCAATTATTTTTTTTTCAAACACATTTTTTTTTACCTGAGTGGCAACTATTTTGCCAATGCCCGGGAAAGGGTTAAAATGTAAATACAAAGATACACTAATAAATAAACTAATATAATTATATGTCTATGGGGCCCTAGTTGCCTGATTATAAATAAAAAAAATTAAATCTTTACTTACAGTATCGGTGGTTCCAGTAGGTCCAGTAGTAGTCCACAATTTTTGTTCTGCAGAAAATTTAGTGATTTATAGGCAAACCATTTACTATGATAAATATCATCAGTACCTGCACCAGACTTATTTGAATTATCTTCTTTTTTTTCTCTCGGTAATAATGACTAGTTAAATTTTTTATCTTTCTCTCGATTTCCGGAACATCAGTAGCAAATTCACTGGCAATTTCATTAAATGCGTCGTAACGCTTTGGCCGGCTTTTGTAGTCACGGTTTTTTGGGTTCCATAATATTTCTTTTAAATGATAGAGGTCTATTAGTTTTATAACTGTTGCATCGTCCCACTCCATATTGGTTAGTTGATAAAAAATAAAAGTGCCGACACTTCACAACAACAGAGACTGAATAAGTGATACGTCACTACTCTATGAAAGCCGACGGCACCCGCCTATTGTATTAGTGTTCTGTGGCCGGCGGGTTGGGCCGGCGATCCGTGCCGCCGGGTCAGCGGCTTTGGTGTGTAGACCGCTTAAGTTTTATAAAATAAACAATCAATGTATGTATACATTATAAAAATGGGCAACAAAAAAAATAAACGCAGGGCAATGAAGAGATCTTATTCAATGAAACAAAAACACACGATGGAAGTTGTAAAGCGTAGACAGAGAATTGTAAAGTTAGTATCTACATTTTTGTGCACATCTTATTTTGGTTATATAGATTATCTATAGATGCGTAATTTCAATTACCAGTCTAAAGTTCGATTGGTCTAGCGGAGTCGTGCGTTCAATTAGTTACTCGCGTCGATGTGTATTGATTCTAATCCCGCTTACCATTATGGGTCACGCTTTTTGCTGATTGACTTTTTCTCGATTTTCTTGTTTGTAATAATTTTTCACAAATTATTTTTTTATTTTCTTATTTTTAATTTAATCATAATCCAATTTTATTGATTTTTTTTAGTAAAAAGAAATAGCATGCAATCCGTCAGCAGATGAATGATCGGAGAAAACTTTTCATGAGTAAGCTTTTACATACATGGTTTTACGGAATATTTCTAATTTATCAACTCAGAATTATTTCTCAAAATGAATAAGTGGGCTTAGGCGCTATAAATTACCAAAATTCCCACAATATAAATTGAATAAATCCGCATACAAAATTTTTTAAATGCCAAATGCAAATTACTCAAAATGCAAATTGTTGGAATTCATTTTCTCAAAAAAAAAACATGATATAAAAATAACTATGTAGGTATTTCAATTTAAAAACTTGTTTCAATTTTAGATTACAAAAAGATTCAGAGCACGAAAACCCTGGGACATCACTTTCAATTGCATTAGTTGTAATTCCAGGAGCCAAACCAAATTCAAATTACGATATGTATGTATTCGTAAATACCGCGTAATTGCCATGACTTAGATTTTTTGTTTGTAATTAAATAAAAAATAAATTTCGTTTTTTTATTACAGAGAAATCACTGACGATGTGCTATTGATTGAACCGTCGACTGAATCTCTAGAATCACCAATTCATGGTCAAAGTGTAGTTGACATAATGCATTTTATCCAGCAGCTGTGAATTATATCCAGTCATAGTTCTTTTTAGAATTGTCATTTCTTACAAATGTCACTCATAGGAGAAAAAAGGATTGGCTGTTAAATGTTTAAATATTTAATTAATTAAAAACTGTATAAAAAGGGTTATTATAATATAAATTAATACATGGTTGATAATAAGCCATGGGAATGAGGTGGTCGCTTCAAAGTTGTTTCTAAAATAAATTTTGTAAATAGTTTGTAAACAATCATATTGTAAAATATATTGATTAAAACATTGATGAAAACTACTTTTACGGATTTTATCGCGTTTAATTATACTTTTAATTATTTTTATTTTTAATTCCCGACGTTTCGGGTGCTTTCCAGCACCCATGGTCCCGGGGGACAGAGGTGACTGACGTCCCGATGCCATTGTTAAACCCGGAGTACCTTCAGCTTTTTTAATTATTGTTTATGGTACGATCTACGCAAAATGAAAATATATGTTTTCAAAGTCCCACTGGATTTCTTGCTGGTTTTTCCTAGGACAGAGTTTTTTTTTTCCGAACCAGTGGTAAAGTAAAAATGACTTTTAATAACAATTACATGTGATCTATATTGAATAAAAAATCATTCTATTCGATTTTAGGGCTGACACCATAATAAAAGTTTTTCATAACGATGTGTACAATGTCTGCTTTTGGTTCTGCCTACACTCTTTTGTAACACACTGTATATTAATATTTTTCTCCATAATCAACCATCAAACTCGGTGGATATTTTTATTTGATTTTTATTATTTTGGCCTTGATTCTGAACAAGTATATTATATTTATAGTAAAAAATTATGTTTTTATAAACTCAAAAATTTTGAACAATTAGCCGTTTCGAGAATATACCATTTTTAGAATTGACCATTCCGCACCAGCCATTTTATTTATAACTCGTCTAAAGAATTTATTTTTAAATTAAGAAAAAATATTTTAGAAAAATAACAATACGAAAATATGTTGACAAAATATATAGAGATATTTTAATACATAATAAGAACATTTTAAAAATACGAATACAAAAACATGAGCGTGCGACGGGATTCGAACCGCCAGCCACCGGGGTACCTAGCCACCGGGAGGCCAAACGTATATTATACAAAGGTGCGAAATTACGCATCTATATGTAATGGACGTCGCACTTCGGCGAAATTCGTGCGGTATGCACCCCGCAGTGAGCAAGACTACTCGTCCCTTTTACTCATCTGCTTCACCCCCTCTAGTACATAAAAGCCGTCTATTCACCGCGTCTTAAAGTTGAATCGATATTACAGCGAAGAGCAGAAGTGGAGGCGGGCGGTGGTGGGGTGGTTAGGACTGGTGAACCTGTCCGTATTACAGCTAAGGATCTTAGGTTAGTCCTGAAGAAGATGACTAGAGGAAAATCACCCGGACACGATCTCAATGTCGAGCACCTTCACAATGCAGGGCCGCATCTCCCAAGGGTCCTGGCAATGTTGTATACTTCTCGTATTAGGTAACAAGACTGGGGATATATCTGATAAGGCTAATTACAGGCCCATATCTTAAGCAACCGTATTGGCAAAGGTACTTGACGGTTTCCTGGAACGACGACTTAAAAACGATGCTCAATTTCGTTTTAGACCAGGCCTGTCGATAGAGCGTGCTATAATGTCGCTAAAGGATACTGTCGAATATTACACCTAGAGACAAACACCAGTGTATGCTACATTTCTGGATCTCTTCAAAGCATTTGACCTGTTTACTTATGACATACTATGGACTAAACTGCATGAAATATCCGTTCCAGGAACTGAACTTATCACCACTAAAATATTTGTACGGTCATCAAGTTAACCAGGTCAGATGGTCTGGCGAGTTATCCGATGAATATATATTGGAAAGCGGGGTGAGGAATATGTATTGGAAAGGGGGTTGTCTTCGCCTGTGCTGTTCAGTCTCTACGTAAACGGGCTCATTGGTGCACTCAGTGAAATGTTCTGTTGACGGTCATATGATTAATAATATAAGTTATGCCAATGCCATGGTGTTGCTGAGTCCATCGGTGAGTGCCTTGCGTAGACTATTATCCGTGTGTGAAACATACGCTGCTGAACATGGGCTCATCTATAACACCAAGAAAAGTGAGTTATTGGTGTTTCGTGTTAACGATAAGAAACCCCTGATTGTGCCGCCAGTAAAACTCCTTAGTGAGCCATTAAGTACAGCTTGTCAATTTAAATATTTGGGACACATTGTTAACGAATATCCGACAGACAAAAATGATATAGAAAAAGAGCGACGCGCATTGGCGGTTCGATGCAATATGCTTGCCCGCAGGTTTGCTAGGTGTACAAATGACATAAAAATAACCCTCTTCAAGGCATACTGTCAAACATTTTACACCTGCAGCCTGTGCTGTGACTACACGCAAAGGACCTACAATACGCTTTGAATTCAATATAATAATGCCTTCAGGTTGCTAACGGGCCTTCCTAGACACTGTAGTGGTTCAAGGATGTTTGCTGAAACAGGTGTTGATAATTTTTACGGCATCTTAAGAAAGCGAACTGCGTCAATATTATATAGACTCCGAAAGAGCTCAAATAGTATCTTGAGGATATTTCAAGATAGACTTGACAGTCCCATTCAGAGGCATTGGATCCTAATGCATGTGGGAGAGACATTCAAGTTTCTAAAATGATTGCTCTTTTTCTATAGATATAATTTATTTTATTCTTATTTTATTATTGTAGTTTTTTTCTACTAACATAGTTTATGTAAATTTCTAACATATGTGTATGGATATGTATATCTGAAATTGAAAACATTATTATTATTATTTGGGGTATCTATATATATAATCCTCGACCGATTTCGGCCACGGCGACCTCTTCAACTCCAATCCTGTCGTTGGTGTGCTCGTGCATGGCTAACGTAGCTGATCTTATTTACAAATGTTCGTGCGCAATGAGGGCAGGTGAGCACACCATTACAGAAATTATAGTTAATCGCACAAGGTGGGCGTGCTTTAAGTTCATCACGTCGGGCACAAAATTCAGAGCAGCGATTCTCCTCAAACATTTTGACCTTGGCTTTCACCAAAGACCTCCACTCCGGTCGTCGAGAGCTGCTTGCTCCCACTCTAAAGGCTCAATGTCGCACTTCTTCACGTGGCGCTTAAGTAAATCTTAGTATAATACCCGAGGAGTTGTCCGCCATGCTTACGCTTGCCCTTCTCAAGTTCAGAGAAAAAGATGCACTTTGCCGTACGCTGGTATGACATTCGCAATAAGTGTCCGCACCGACGGAGTTGTCGCCCCATAAGGTAGGCCTCAATCCCCATGGTATGGGCTCTATGCGGCACTCCCGTGTTTCAAATGCATGCAATGCAGTCTTGCCATCGTCTAGGAGCACTATCAGAAGCTCGTGCAAGACCAGGTCTTATTCGGTTTAGTGATCTGTCCATTAAGTCAACCATTTAGGCCAAAAAGACTCTGTTTAAAGGCACTTCATATGTGTTGTCCGAGTTTCTTACTCGTCAGCGTCAAGGTTTATTCATTACTGCACGTAAGCACTTTGGTATTAGACAAGTTTGGTCACTCGATGGTAATATACACGTCAAGTTGCCTTGTGGTAAGCGCCATCGGCTGACGGACACCAAGGACCTCGATGAGCTCATTACACAGTATGAACAGCCTGCTGCATCGAATCGACAATCTGATTCTACGTCGAAGAAAGTGTCACCAAATGTTAACAGTGGTAGTGCACCAAAGTCGACGGTGAGCTTCAAACGCA